AGGACTCGCAAGCCCTTAACTGAAACTACGGTGGCAGAGTTCAGGGTGCAAGATTACTCATCTGCACCAGAGCACTGTTCTGAAGCAAGCCTACTGCGTCCCTGACAGTGAGAACATGCATTTTGGCCTATTAGTGACCTGAAAATGGATCCTAAGTCAACCAAAACAGACATTTCCCTTCAAAATATTCTGGAGAATGTATCTTCTTAACTGAATGTTCAGCATATTACTCTTTTTGTTGTTACTGCTGCTGTTGTTGTTGTTTTGGGGTTCTTTTGTTTTCTTAGAGAGAGAATCTTGTTTAGAAAGTTACTCTTCACTCTTTGAACCAAAACTTTTTGTTTTTCAAGAGTGGAATTCCATTATCACCAGGGCCATCTGGGTGTTTGTTGCAACTTGTCTGCTAGCAACTCCTACATTTTCAGTTCCCGGATGCTTGGAAGGCTCAAGTGAGCCCTCAGTGAAATCCAAGGAGTAAATAGCTGGTAGGAAAGGAAGGTCTTCACAGTTTGGAGGCAGATGGATGTCTTGCATCCAACAGACTCTGAGTTGGTATTCCCCATGAGTCCAAGGGATCTTGGATGAGCTGCAATTCACTAATTAGTTCTCCCAGTCAGCATTTCTTAAATACACCGTGTAAGCATGCTGCAGCATCTGCCTTTCTGCGGAGCACAGCCTATTGCCAAGCCTGAGGTCTGCCCCATACGCGGTCATCAGAATCTTAACATAACCCAACTACAATGTGTCCAGGTTCAACAGAAGCTGAAGAAAGGAGAAGGAAGCACTTGTAGGAAAATGTTCCTTAAAAAGAGGTATTATGCAATACCAACCACTGCCCTTGAGCTGATTTTGAAAGTTTTGGTTTTCATGTTATTAGCTCTAAGAAGATTTATTTTTATTTCTCTTTAGCCTAGCTGAAAAAAAACCAAGAGGAAATCTGTTTTAACTTGACTGGATGTTCACACCCATTTATATTATAAAAGTCTAACAATACAGTTCAGTAGAACCTCCACATTTGACCACCTCCTTAAGTTGACCTAATTTTCTTAGACTAGACATGCACCACATGTATGTATCAGTACAGTACGTCTAGTTCCTCACTGATCACCTCTGCATGTTGACCAGTTAGTTATAGTCCCTTGGGAGGTCAACTTTCAGAGGTTCTGCTATAATTGAAATCTTTATTTGGGGCTACTCAGAGGCTTGCCAGTTATTTCTAAGGGCATTCTCAAATTTCAGGGTTGGAGTAGACTGGGGGGGAGGATGAATATACTGTATATTTTATATCTTACAAAAATGTTAATAGTATTTTCCAGTTGCACTTTTAAGAGTAGACTAGAGGCAACGTCAAATGAAGCAAATAATATTCAGGGTCTGGCAGAAGTAATGCCTTTTTGAGCTCAAGTGTGACATCGTTATGTTACAGACTTACATGCACAGATAACCCCTCTTTTTCCTGAGCTGGTAAACCGTATCAATCTTTTATTATAAAAGAATAAGTGGGTAATTTTGTAACATATCAATCTCACACTCAGGTCCTAAAGGTTGTTACTCTGCCGGACCCTGCAGAGTGGCAACCCTTAACACTAGTGAGAACAACTAGTTTTTTAAAAAGTGAGATTACCTTAAGAACAGGTAAAATCACAAAAGAGAAGAATTTTTAGCATCTGAGCTCATTTCAACAATGAACGTTTACCAGCATGGTATGTGAAAAGAGCATCTTTTTCTCCAGCCTCAGAGAAACCTGGATTTGAATCCCAGCTCTACCCCGTGCTCAGTCAATGGCCTTAGGCACGTTACTTAACCTGTTTGTGTTTCAGTTTCCTCGCCTATAAAATGGGCCTAAAAATACCAACCCCAGGGGATCATTGCACAGATTCAATGAGATGTATGGAATGCTCCTGGCACCAAGTAGGTGTATGAAAACTAATGTTCCTCCCACCCCACTCCTTTACCAAAATATGCAAGAGTTGGATTTTCAGTGTGGGAAGGGGGATATTGTTTTAAGAGATAACTCATCTTTGTTGTTGTTTTGTTTTTTTGTTTTTGAGACAGAGCCTCAAGCTGTCCCCCTGGATAGAAGGCCATTGCTTCACTGCTCACAGCAATCTCCAACTCCAGGGCTCAAGCGAGTCTCCTGCCTCAGCCTCCCAAGTAGCTGGGACCACAGGCGCCCACCACAATACCTGGCTATTTTTTTTTTGGTTGCAACCATTATTGTTGTTTGGCGGGCCCGGGCTAGATTCAAACTCGCCACCTTAGGTGTATGTGGCTAGCACCTTAGCCACTTGAGCCACAGGCACCGAGCCTGTTGTTTTGTTTTGAGGGATCCTTTTTGTTGGTTTTGAGACATTCTCATTCTGTTGCCCCAGGCTAGAGTGTACAGTAAACCTCAAACTCCTGGGTTCAAGTGATCCTCCTGCTTCAGTTTCCCAAGTAACTGAGACTATAGCTGCCTGCCAAAATGCCTGGCTAATTTTTCTGTTTTTAGTAGAGACAGTGTCTCTCCTGTCTCAACCTCCCAGAGTGCTAGGATTACAGTCGTGAGCCACCATGCCCAGATAAGAGAATAACTCATAAAGCCTAGCAATTGTGTTTAGGAGACAAGAACTAACATCGCACAGCTATAGTTTAATTCACAACCACATTTTCACACTGAATTCTCACATCACTAAATCACAGTGGCACAATCATAGCTGACTTTAACCTCAAACTCCTGAGTTTAAGCAGCCCTCCTCCTGGAGCCTTCTGAGTAGCTGGGACTACAGGCATGAACCATCATGCCCAGCCTCTTATGTTCAAATTTCTGAACCCAGTGGGCCCAATTAAAAATGAAGAGAGTTCATTTATAGACACTGAGCTATTTTGAATTCCAAGTAAATATTCAGCTATTGGAATGAGAATAAAAAGCTCCTCTGCTTTTGGACCAGCATTTTTCCCGTATGAAACCAATTTCTTGAAATACTTTCAAGAGTATCTCTGGAGGCTCCCCTATTACATGACACTTGAAACGTAAATGCAGACCATAATTTAAGGATTTAAAATATGGAGCTGGTTAAGGGAATTTAACATGCTAATCCCAGTGCCCCACAAACCTCAAACCCTAGATTCAGTTCTGTACTCTCCCGAAGACTCGGAAATTCCTCTGAAGCTCAGCTTCCTCTTCTATACAATGAAAAGGACTGTCCCACCTCCCAGAGCTGACTCCTGCTATAGCAAACAACTCAGGATCTCAGCGGCCTGCACAATGAAAGCTTAGTTCTTGCTTACATCATGGCCCAGTGCTGGCTGGCAGGGTGGACCTGTTCTCTCACATCAATCAGGGACCCAGGCTTTTCCATCACATGGTTCTAGCATGTTTTAAAGCCTTGTCCTCCTCTGCATTCAGTTGTCATCTGAAGAAAGAAAGAAGGTATGGAGACCATGTTTCCTAGGCCAGGCCTGGAAAGGGGTTTCCATATCTTCTGTCCACATTCCAAATGGTCAGGATTCAGCCTTGTGGCTGTCCCTATCTGCAGGGAGACTGGGGAGTTAGGCTGACTGTGTGCCCTGGAGGAAGTAGGAACAGAGTTGGGTGCAAATGAAATAGATTTCACCATAGTACTTACTCCAGAAGGTTGTTTGGAGGATTAAGTGAGATAATACATATAAGAACTCACAAAGATCTCAGGACCAATAGATACAGTAGACCCTCTATAGTTGACAGCCCTCCCACTTTGACCACCTCCTATGTTGACCTAATTTTCATAGATCAGACAGGTGCATGTCCGTATCAGTACTGTAGGCCTAGATCCTTATGTTGACCAGCTCTGTATGTCAGCCAGTTTGTTACAGTCTGTTCTGCTGTTTTAGCACTGGGCCATTATGACCTTCTGACTAGACTGAGGCCCATTTCGTCCACTCAGTGCATCCTGGAAGGAGCCGAGGAGGACAAGGTGGTGTCTCCTATCTTCATGTTATCTTTAGGGATGACTTCAGAGAAGCTTCAAAGCTGCCCACACCCACCACCCCCTTTACTAGGCATCTTTATCTCAATTCATTTTAGATACAGCTCACGTAATTGAGATGAGTGGGCAAGGAGTAGAGAGACAGTCCTTTCATAGTCTGTACTCCCAGATCATACCGATTCTTTCTGGCTACCATTTCTCAGCAGAAGCTCATTTGCCATTAGATTATACCTAAACCATATGACCTTGAACTCTGACAGCTGGAATTCACCATATTGACTCCTCCCACTCTGTCCTCCACTCTGCTGCAGAGTAACTTCTAAACAGTAACTTCTTCTGATCATGCCATCGCCTGCTTCAAATCCTTCACTGTCTCTCCACTGAATTTAGAATAAATTCCAAATGCCTCATGCAGGGTCGGTATCGCCCACCCTACCCTCCCCAGAGCAGCCCCTTCCACCTCTCCAATGCGTCTCACATCTCTCTCCTCTCCTGCCTCAACCATTCATTTGCTCAACAGCTATTTCTCCAGCCCCCGTTCTAGGCACTTGAAATAGCAGTTGGACAGAGGACATCCCAGTCCCTGCGGTGGGGACTGCATTCTGGTGCGACACCTTCACAGGGCCTTCCTTTGACACACTCTCCGCCTCTGAGGCTTGGTGCCAGCTGTCCCCTTCCCCACCTCTTCTCACAGAGGCCTTAGTTTCCTCCCTCACAGCATCCTGTGTGTGTTTTCACAGCATTTATCAACCTGGAAAGTCACTTGGCTTTTTCATGTGCCTTTCTTGTCTGTCTTCCTTTACCACAACGCAGTGTTCATGTGGGTAGATCTTGTTTATCTCATTCACTTTGGTATTCTCACGACCTGTTCACCTGGTGCAAAGCAGAACCTCAATAAATATCTGTTGAACAGGTGGATTAACAAATGGGTGAACTAGCGGGCAGCCACCAAGGCATCTGGGGACGGCCCCCAGGCCTGGGGGAAAGTGTGAGCTCCACTTTCCTTCCTGACAGCCAGAGCTCACCTCTGCCCCTCTGATTGTCGTTTCACAGGGAATGACCCCACTCCACTGGGCGGCTTTCCACAACCAGCCTCAACACACACAAATGCTGTTGAAGAAGGGTGCAGACCCCACCCTTGTGGATAAAGACTTTAAAACGGCTCTGCATTGGGCAGTGCAGGTGAGAAACTGGCTGGTGACTGGGCTTGAGCTTACAGAGCGGAAAGCAATGTTAACGATTTCCTCAGTGTGTCAAATTTGAAAGATGCAGGTGTTGGCGCCGTCCCTTGTGGAGAAGATGCAGAGGGAAAGTAGTCATAGACTATCACGGGGAGCCTGCCTTGGCTACGCCTCCCTCCCCACCTCCCTCCCTCCAGCTCTCTCTCTCCCTCTGATACACACACACACACACACACACACACACACACACGCCCTCTTGCTCTCCCGACATTCGCTACTGGCTTACTGCATCGCAGCGTAAACTTCAGAATAATCCCTACCTGTCATTGAACGATCACTCTGACTCTCTTCTTCCTTCCAATCCCCCCAGCCCGTTCATTCCAGGTAATCCTGAATTCTATGCTGGACAGTGAAAACAATGGCTCATAGCCCCGTGTCACTGTCACATAGGGGGTCTGTAACAGTGTACACAACCAACGAAATCACAACAGGCCCACAGAATCTACTGCCCAAAGAGGGTAAAGCCGAGGAGAAAGAGCTAATAGCTGGCATGTGCCGAGGGCTTTCCACCTTCCAGGGGAATGATTAGCTGAAAGTCATCTGCTCCTTCCTTCAAAGACAGCAGAGAGGGCCTCCTTGCCACACGCGTGCTAGCCCCTCTGTCTGTGATGCCCGAGCACAGATCCCCATGGCTGATTTCTGTCAGCTCACGAGGGCCCCTTTGTGAGATGCTGCCAGGACCCTCCTGTGAGAATGGTTTCAGCTGCCCTGGCCATGGTTTCACTCAGCATTTTCATGTGTCAAGCACAGCAGAGGTGGGCACCTGGGACTTTCAGGGTTGACACATGTGCCTGATGTAAGGGGAAAACAAAAGTGATCTGGAAACTGCTGTTCGTGTCCCTCCAACCTTGGCTTCCGTTACTCTGCAGCAGGGCCAGCCCTGGACAAAACTGCCAAGTGAGCAAAGCTTGTTTTTGTCATCTCCACCGCCCTTAGCACTCTCCTGCATACTTTCAGTACCTAATTACCCGCCCTACCCCCTCACTGCCAGTCTCTGCCCAGGGCCCATCCCCCAGGGGCCGGCCTCTGGATAGCCAGGCGTCACTATTGCCGCAGTGGCCCTGGAGGAACCAGTCTGGGCTCCCACAACGCATCCATGTGCTGGTTCTTAGCTGAGTTGAATGTTGCATCAGAATTAAGCACTTCCTGTATATTTACCCTCAACACCCCTGGGTGCTGTTCCCTAGATCTGGGACATATGCTCATTTTCAGACTCTCCCCAGGTATATCCCACCGGCATACCCCACTGGCATACCTCTGCTGGTCCCTCCTACTTTACCCCAGCCCCAGTTTAGAGCTGCTGCCCTAGACCCTGACCTTGCAATGGCATCACCAGCTGCATTTGCAAAATGACAGGTTCCCAGACCCTTCTCTAGACCTCCTGAGGTGGGCACTTTTGAAATAGAAACCCCTCTTCTTATCCTCCATGAGTCAGTTTGGCAAAATCACGAGGACCACATACTTAGCTCAGAAGATTTGAGTTTGCATTGATAGACCTGGGTTTGATCTGAAGCAAGTCACCAACACGTGTGTGGCTAACTGCTAAGTGCATTAGGGGTGTGGATGAGACCATGAACCTGACAGTGATACGTCATGTACTGTGAAATGGAGGGGAGGATCGTTTTTACTATGGTTCCTGATTTCTTACCTGAAAACTTTTCATACCCATGCCTTCATATTCTCTCTCTATTAAATGATATAACTTTTAACCCACTACATTGATTTCTGACCTGCCTGCACGATGGAATGATCTGAAAAGCCTTTAAACAATACTATTACCCGGACCCCAATTCTCATTCAGTTGTTCTGAAGTGGAGGCAAGCTCATCAATATTTTTTAAAGTTTCCTCCTTTCCCAAGGAAAATTATAATGTGCAGCCAGGGTTGAGAACCACCAGGATAAAGGAATTTCTATCAATGGGTGCTAATACCTTCCCTAGGACTGGAGATATTTGCATTTTGACTGTGATTGTACAAACATTACACCTCACTCATTTACTTCCTCAACCACTTAATAAGTATTTCTTGAGCATCTACTGTGTGTCTCATATTGGAGGTAAAAAGATTAACGAGACTGGTGCCTTCTAACGCCCCTCCACTGTGTGCAGCATTGCCTGCGTGCCATGTAAGCATGTTCGCTTTTATTTTTCTGAGGAAAGAAATGTTCTTCAGTTCCTCAGTGAGAATCAGTGACTACCCACAAAGGTTAAGAATCCCAGCTTCGGGGGAACTGTGCACCCTCTCCCTTCTCTGTGGTTAGCTGGAAAATTCAGAAGTGGTACTTTCTGCCATTTACACTGCAAAGAGGGGGGTAATTCCAAATGTCAGCCCAAGTCATTATTACACTTGCCGGCTTTGGCCTCCTTGTTCATTTATAACACAGCGGGGCATTGTGCTCCTTTTAGAGTTTTTCCATATGAATGAGTCTATTTCCCATTGTCATTTATTCCCTTTGCCGAATTTCCTGCTTTTCCCTCCAAATACAATGAGATCACATTTAAAGCTGTAGTACCTTGAAATAGTAAGGACTTTGTTTTTTCATTTAAATAACCAAAGCAGTAAAGACTCAAAACACCAGGCCTATGAAATAAATTAAGTTGGACTTCTGCACCCATGTCTGTCCCTGGGTACCTGGTGGTCTCCTTCACTGGGTCCATTGCCCTCTTTCACCCTCCCCGAACTGCCCAGGAGACCCCCTACTTGGCTATCTCTGGGCTAACACTAAGCAGAGCCCCCTATCTCCAGCACTGTCTCCCCAGATGGGCCTCCCAGACCTTGAGAGGCATGTTCTTGCCTGTGATGACATTAGCTTTGTCCCCAGTCTACATGAGTATCTCTCAGACCAGGCTGTCTTTCACTGCTCAGCCCTGCAGACATTTAGTCTTCAATCCTTTTTTTCACTCTCTCTTCCTCAGAGAGCTCTTTGGTTTCTGTAACCTCAACTACCACATATGATTCAAAAGATTCTCATCTCAATAACTCCAGTTCTGACCTCTCTCTTGAACTCTAGATACACATTTGGGCATCTCCCCACAGTTGCCCACAGACACGTGTAACCCAGCGTGTTCAAACTGAATCCATGGTCTTCCTTCCCATCACATCCCCATCCTCCAGCAGCCCAAGCCAAGAAGAGCTTCGTGTGGTCCGTGAGCACTGCTTTCTTGGAACCCATCACGGCCAGTTGCCTATCAAGACCTCTCAGTCCTACCTCCTGATCCATAATCTCTGTCCCCCACCTTTTATCCCCACTGTCCAGGTCAAGGGCTCAGCAAGGGACAGATGGCATACTCAGATGGGGGTGATGGAGGAGAGTTTCATAAAGAGGCTGTTTGTCACACAAGCTTGGGTCTAGCAACCAAACTGTGACCTGGCAGGAAGAGAACTATGGGATGAACACCCCACTCCCTCTTTCCTCCTATGTCACCCTTCTGTCGGTGCCACCCACATGCCAAACCCAACAAGAAGCCAAAGGGCAAGAGAGCCCATTTGATGCAGTCTGCACAATGCTGAGAAATGGAAGGCAGGAGGGAAAAAGATGGGGGTAACCTGGCAGAGCGAACGAAAGGCAATGAAATGCATCTCCTATTACTTCAGTACCTCTTCCCTCAAGCTTGCACCATCTCGCACCTGAACAGTTGTAGTAGTGATTCTCATACTCTCAGTCCTTCCCTTGTCCAGTCTATTCCTACAGCACTTTTCCCATGAATCACAATGACACGTACCAACATAGCTGCTATGCCAGAACAACGGCCGTCACTGTTGCTCAGAAACCTCCACTGAGTTCAATCTTGTTGTAAGGAACAAATTCCTTAGGCTAGTAATGCCTGCTGTGAGCAACCATTTTCTGCCCTTGACCTTTCCCCTCCAGCCCATGTAGCCTTTGCTCCAATGACCCTGGCATATTAGTAATCCCCTTGATACACCACAGAGTCTCTTCCCATCTCCCCCTTGCTCTTCCATTTGTATGAAATCTTTCTTTCTGCCCTCCCTGCATCATCCCTTCCGCCTACAGAATTTCTGCTTATTCTTTCTTATTCCTCAAAGCCCACCTAAATGTCACTTGCTCTGTTGAGCTCCCTTTCAGGACTGTTCCCTCCATGTCACTGCTAGGACTTGTGTTGCAGTTAGTGGCGTGTGTGTAAGGGTAAGGTACCTTATTCATCTAAATGCCTCTCAGCACCCAAAACAGAGCTTTGTGAATCTTAGGTCCCCAAATAGATGTTCGCTGAATTCAGTCCAATAAATTTATTCATCTCAAGCCAATGGGGTTAATGGTTTATTGGGTTCTCCCTGTGGAAAAAAATGTTTTATTTAAAGACTTTATTTTTTTAGAGAAGTTTTAGGTTCTCTACAAAATTAAGGTGAAAGTACAGAGATATCTCATATACTCCCTTCCCCCACATGCATGGTCTCCCCCATATTAACATTCAGTACAGTGGATGAACCTACCTTGACACATCCTTATCAACTAAAGTCCATACTTTACATGAGGGTTCACTCTTAGTGTTGTATGTGCTGTGGGTTTGGACAAAGTATAACAGCACATACCCATCATTATAGTATCACAAAGTAGTTTCACTGCTGGGAAAACCCTCTGTGCTCCACTTGTTCTTCCCATCCTCCCCTAAGCCCTGGAAACCACTCATCTTTTTACTGTCTCCATAGTTTTACCTTTTCCAGGTTGTCATGGTTGGACTCATACAGTAAGGAGTCTGCTCAGACTGGCTTCTTTCACTTAGAATCTACATTTACACTTCCTCCAGGTCTTGTCATGGCTTATAGCTCATTTCCATTCAGTGCTGAACAATATCCCATTGTATAGATATGTCAGTTTATTTATCCACCTTGGTCATGCTTCTACCTACTGAAGGACATATTAGTTACTCCCAGCTTATGGCAATTATGAATAAAGCTGCTATAAACATCTGTGTGCAGGTTTTTG